CGCCCCTTCCCTCCCGGCGTCTCCCCTCCTTCCCCGCGGGGTCGGAGCCGGGGCCGCGGCCGCTGCCACGTGACCCAGGCCCGCGGGGCTCCGCGCGGAAGGCGGCGAGGGCGCACGGCGCCCCCGGGCACCCCGCGCTGAGTCCCGGCAGCGCGGGCGACCGAGGTCGGCCGGCGCTCGGCGGGGTCCCGAGGCAGTCGGGGCGCGGAGACGTCTCTAAGTTTGTTCGGGGGATTCGCGGACCCCCACCCTTCCTTCCTCGCCAGCCCTCGGCTCCTCCGAGGCCGGCCGGCCTGGCGTCGGTTCCGCGTTTGTGAATGAGTCCGTGATCCCCACGGACCGCGCTCACGGACACTCTATGGTGGCACCCCCTCATTGCGCCCTTGGACTTCGGGGGTCCGGCTTCCGTGGGGAACCCCGGCTCGGTGTCGCTGGACTCAGGCCGCTGCATGCGCGAAGTCCCGCGGCAGGCCCGCAGTTTCCTCGATTTCTGACCAAGCTGGGCAACTTCGGGGAGCGTTCCCAGCTGGGGGGAGCGTCCGGGCTGGCAGACCCCTCCGGCTGCACCCCCTCACCCCTTCCGTGAGGTCCCAGCCCGGCTTGTCGCCCCACCTCTAGGTGGGCCTTTCACTCACCCGCCCTCCGGGGACACGGAGAGTCTCCTCCAGGCTCCAGAAACGTGGGATGGGTGGGAGACCACCGGCCACGGAGGCGGGCAGAGCGACCGCCTGCTCACCCTCGCCTCGCGGGTGGACGAGCCGAGCCCCCCTCCGCCTGCCCCCAGGCTCTCCGCGGGGACAGCGCCCAGCGGGTCCGATGCACTGCCGGGCCGGGCAGGACTCACCAGGCCACCCTTGCCCCGTGCTTGGGGCCTTGAGTGTTTTCAGTTTGCAGAGCGGGGCTCTCCGCTCACGGTCCTGGGTGCAGAGGCGGCAGACTGGGGCCAGGGGCGCCCCCAGGGTGGGCTAGACTCCCGGGCGCTGTCTGCCTGCGGAAGGGGTGGAGTGGGCCCGGCCGTTCCTCTCCATGCGCTCTCCTGGGGACAGCAGACAGGGACGCGGGTGGGCCAGGGAGGAGCGTCCCGGAAGGCGGCAGGCAGGGCCCCCATACACCTCGGGCCGGGGACACCATAGGGTCCACCGAGGGCTCTGGACCCTTGCCAAGCCTTGGCGGTGCCACTGGGAGGGGGAGTAGGGGGCTTTCGTGCCCCCCTGATGCTCAGCTCCCAGCCTCTCTCCCGCCTCCCCCACTGCTGTCCCTCCACCGTCTTCCTCCCTCAGGCCCTGGGTCTGTGATGCCCGTCTGACTCCGGTGGTCCCTGCTCTCCCTCATCGCTGTCTTTGGGGATCTGAGCGGGGCCCTTCTTCCTCGCCCCACCCCCTCCCGATTTTGCTGGTGGATCTCCGTCTTTCTCTTTTTCACAGTGGGCCCCACGAGGGCAGAGAGGGGTCCTGGTGCCACTCAGGGTCCTGGAAACTTGCTGTACCAGGGGCCCTACGTGGCGCAAAGGTGTGGCCTCCAGGACCCACAGGACAGTGAGGCCGGTTGAACCTCGCTCTGCTCTGTGGCCCTCAGAGACCGGTGACTCAGAAAGTTTAAACGCAACAGAAAAATGCCCCGCCAGCCAGCGTAGGGGTGCAGAGACATCAAAAAGGGGAGACTCAGCTTACTGGTGCTGAGACAACCCCTCCCCCCAAAAAAAAAGCTCCAGAGAGAAAGGAAAGACCTGCCGCAAACCCGGGATCCTGGGGGTAGGCTGCCGGGAGAGGCTTGTGTTTTTCACTTGGGATAAAACCCAGCCAGGTCCTTGAATAGCAAATACCAGCATGGGGGAGGTGGAGCGCTGGGCTTGTCTCATGGTGTTTCCATTTAATTCTCACAGCAATCTTGATGTTCTTATTATTCCCACTACAAATGGGGAAGCAAAGCACAGAGAGGTTAGCTAACCTGCCCAAGGTCACACAGCTAGTGATCAAACCAGGTAATTAAAACAAACAAAGATTGCAAAAATAGACATAGGGATGCAGTCTCTGATCAGTTTTTCTGTTAACAAACCTTTAAATGGGACCTGTATACTTTTTCTAATTAAAAGGCTGAGACTTTCCCCGGGAGAGTGTGTGGAGGTGGGGGTGGCATGGCAGAAGCTGCCTCTCAGTCCCTGGTCTCAGGGAAGGAGATTTACTCTTTACTTGGAAGACTCCTCCCAGGCTGGGCCCCACTCTGCCGGGAGGGCAGTCTGCTGGGTGTCCAGGGCTGGGCTGCCCGTCGTGCCATCTCATGGGTTACCGCCCCAGGTGGATGTGAGATCACCACCCTGCGGCCTGTAGAAGCAGAGGCTGCTGTGGTGTTTGCCCACCCCCTTAGGCTGGAAACCCTGTGGACCGTTGCCAGCCCCTGGGCACAGTGACAGGGTGGGAGGGGCACTGGTGTCTGTGACAGCATCTGGACCCCTTCACAGATTCCTCCTACTTGAACCAAAAAGACAGGCATCTCAGCAGATGCCTCCCGCACCCTCGCCGGCCTTGCCCAGCCCCCTCCGACTCCTCACAAGTCACCTGATGCTGAAGGACTCAGTCACCCTTCTGTGCAGTTGCCCCTGCCAGGTTCCCTGCGCCCCTCAGGAGGGAACCGGGTGCTCCAGTCCACCAGGACCTCACTGTTCCTGCTCGTCCGTCCGCTGCAAACCTGCCTATCCTGTAGGCCTGTGCTTCTCCTAGCTCCGAGGGCCCTCCCTCTGCCCTCCTCTCTACTTGCTGAACTCCTGCACATCCCTCGAGGCCCAGCTCGTAAGGCCCCTTCTGTTGGTGGCCTTCCCTGAGAAGTTGCTGTGTCCTCTCCCTTGTGCCTCGTCACGTTTTATGGTCAGATGGCCGTGTGTGTCCTGTTGTGCCTCTCCAGCAGACACTGAGCCCTGAGGAAAGCTTTGAGGACAGCAGGTCACAGTGTGAACGCAAAGCAGTCAGACCTTCTTCAGGCCTCCACTTGGCCATCTCAAGGCTGTGTGACCTTGGGTGAGTTTCTTGTCTCTCTGTGCCTCTGTTCCTCTGTAAAGTGGGGATGACAATGGTCCCTGCCTTGCACACTGGTTTTTGGGAGGATTAAGGAACAGGAGACGCCAGGCCTTATAAACAGCCTGCACTGTGGATGACCCAGCCGGGGCCTCGAGTTGGCTGCTGAGAAAAGGGGAGCAGGAAATGAACACAGAGTTCACGGGCGCCGTATCATTTATGTAACCCAATCTGCTTTCAAAGCCCCTTCCTGACGTCCCGTAGCATTACAGCTGGCAGGCACTCGCTGGCCAGGTCACCAGACAACCCACTTAGAGAGGGGTCCTCTGGGGAGGGGCTCAAGGCAAGTTTGTTTTGGGGGAGACATAACACGCTCCATCCAAGTGGGCTCATCTCCCTGTCGGCGGGAGTGTGCAGCCAATGTCCTATCACGTGATGGGATATTTATGACCAGCTTCCAGGCCAAGAAGCTGCCCCCAAAAGGCGCGCCCACAAGGGAGAGGGAGCTGGAGCAGGGACAGGGCGCAGGCCCATCACTGGGGAGGCGAGGGAGGCAGGGGTCTCTGGCTCCCCCAAGGGCTGAGTTCGTGAGATGGACAGAGGAACGGACGGCTGGACAAGCCAGCCCCCTCACGTCTACTAGCTGTAAATCACTTCACCACGATGCCTGGGAACCAGGCTGGGCCGTGCGCCGGTAATAAAACAGCTTGACACTAACGCTGGCCTGGGCAACGGCCGGCTGCCCTGATAGATCAGCCGCCACCTGACCTTGAACGAAATTGTGTGGTTCCTGGGTCCCTTGTGGCTGCAGGTCCCTGATTTTGCCAGAGAAGATAAAAATGAAAACCACATGTCACCCTGTGGAATTACAGCGTTTGACTTAAAAGCGGTGCCTTGGTGGCTCCCCAGCTGGAGGGCTTCCCCACACGCAGGCGGCTGCTCTCTCCTTTCCTGGACGCGGGTTCTGCCCCAAGCAGCTCAAGAACAGGATTCTTGTTGATTCCTTCCCTCCGCACCATCATCCGCACTGGAAATCCGTGGCACACTGAAACTACCCGCTCAGAAGTGAGAAGCAGTCAAGGAGAGTGGGTCTCGGAGATCCTGTTTGTTAAAAAATAGCCTGCAACTCTGCCTGGTCGTAAGCGCAGTCCTCCACTCAGTCCTCCCAACAGAACGCCGCAGGGCATCCCAATGAGGAGATGAGCTGTGTGTGTGTGGCCAGGAAGCCGGCACGCTCCATTGCTGGGCTGTAGATGGGGCTTCCTGGGTGCCAGGCCATGTGAACCCTCTGCCCCTGCATGCACACAAGGTCCCGTGTGGACTGCAGGAGCCACAGCACCACGTCCTCAGGGGCTGCCTGGGGCTCAGTTGCACCTGCTTTGGGGGAGCTGCTGCTCAAACCTCCTGCTCAGCGGCTCAGAGTGGCGACTGAGTGGCCTCATTAGAGCCACAAGGATGGGAGGAGAGCCGGGTTCGGTCCATGTGGTGTCCCCTTGCCCTTCAGCTCTGGCCACAACTCCACTGTTCCGCGTACAGAGCGCTGAGGCCTGCTGGAGGGTCAGGGTTCTCGGGACAATTGTAAGAGTCAGTGCATGGGCTGTGTTCCTGGGGAGAGGGCCTGCTCCCCAAATCTAGAGCCCAGTGTGCTCAAGGCCTGGTGGCGGGGAGTTCCTGCCCCAGGGTGTTGGGTGGTGATACCCTTAACAAGCTCCCAAACATAAATGTGTTTGCACACACTGGCACATCTGGACATACCCACGGGGATTGCACACACAGACACATGCACACACCCACATAAGCACACACGTGCTTGTGTGTTTCCATCTTCTGGGCAGAAAGCCTTTTCAGGAAACCCCAGGAGATAAAATAGAAACCACTTGCCCTTCTCCTTTCCAAAGTGATGTCAGCTGGTGGGGCTTGGAAAACTCCACGTGGCTGTTCATCTCCCACCCGGCAGGCCAGACGGACCCACTCTTGGGTGACAAAGCCGATTGTCTCCATTTCCCACTGAGTTGCCATCCAGTAGCTGCTCTGCGTTGCTGGACCTGGGCCCGAAAGCTCTGAGTGACGACGACAAAGGCCTGGGCAGCCCCCTTCCTGCAGCCAGCCAGCTGGGTGGAAGGACCTGCTAAGGGGAGGGCAGGGGCCACCGCCCTCCCAGCGTCCCTGCTGCTCCTGCCTGACCTGCCTGGTCAGACCCCATCAAGGTGGGCTCCCGGGCCATCTGCCCAGCATTCCTGGGTGCCACTCCTGGGGCTGAGCTCTCCACATATCACCCCATTCCATCCTCCCCGCGACCCAGCAAGAGGGTGATGGGGGGGTCTGATGCCAGACTTCCTCCAGGGGAGGGGGCTGTGTGCATATGGCTGTGGCGTAGAGAGGGTGAGGCAGAGAGAAGCTCCTTCCCAGAGCCCACTGCCCGGCCACACAGCCAAGAGGGGTG